GGGGCAGGGGGAGGCATTAGTAGGCAGAACTGTAGCATCTCTACTGGGTGCTCCTGAGAGCTTTCAAACTAGTCTGTTGTTCTTCAAGCACAAGGCTTCTCAACCATGCCCCTGTTGATATTTGGGGCCAGGTAATCCTTTGCTGTGAGGGCTACCCTGGGCGTTGTCGGGTGTTTCACGGCACCTGGGCCTCCACCCAATAGAGTAGTGGTGGCATTCTGTCTGCAACAAACAAAAATCCCCTCAGGCATTGCCAAATGTCCCCTGGTGCATGGGGGCGGGGGCACACTTGTCTCCCCCCACCCCTGTTTGAAGCCAAAGCTGCAGGAACCATTTCTTCCTTAACTTTTATCCTTTCTTCTTTTATGCCCAGGGTTTCAGGAACCTTTCCACCATGAGTGTTACCTCGCTGGGTTTTGCCTTCTTCTTTCTCTACTGTGTGACCTGTGAGAAGCTCCCAGAGGGGACTCTCTCCCCTTCCGCATGGCACTTTACCCAGCCGCTTTACAACACCACCATCTGCGAAAACTCGGCTCCAAAGACCTACGTAGAGAGCCCGGTGAAAATGGGCATCTACCTGGCCGAGCCCCAGTGGGCAGTGAGGTACCGGATCATCTCTGGGGATGTGGCCAACGTGTTTAAGACCGAGGAGTATGTGGTGGGCAACTTCTGCTTTCTGAGAGTCAGGACCAAGAGCAGCAACACAGCTCTTCTGAACAGGGAGGTGCGAGACAGTTACACCCTCGTCATCCAAGCCACCGAGAAGACCTCGGAGCTGGAAGCGCTGACCCAAGTGGTGGTCCACATCCTGGACCAGAATGACCTGAAGCCCCTCTTCTCCCCGCCTTCCTACAAAGTCACCATCTCTGAGGACACGCCCCTCAAGAGCCCCATCTGCAAGGTGAGCGCCACAGATGCTGACCTGGGCCAGAACGCTGAGTTCTACTATGCGTTTCACACCAGGTCAGAGACGTTTGCCATCCATCCCACCAGTGGCATGGTGACCGTGGCTGGGAAGCTCAATGTCACCCGGCGAAGACGGTATGAGCTCCAGGTGCTGGCTGTCGACCGCATGCGGAAAATCTCGGAGGGCAATGGGTTTGGCAACGTGGCTGCGCTGGTCATCCAGGTGGAGCCTGTGCTCCGGAAGCCCCCAGCCATTGCCTCGGTGTTATTGATGCCACCTGATGGTAACGAGGATAACACCTATGCCACCATAGTGGTGGGTGCTGGCAGCTCAGGAGCTGACATGGACTCAATGGACATTGTGGGTGGTGACCCTGGAAAGCACTTCAAAGCCATCAAGTCGTATGCCCAGAGCAATGAGTTCCATCTGGTGTCAGTCAAAGACATCAACTGGATGGAATACCTCCATGGATTCAACCTTAGCCTCCAGGCCAGGAGCAGGAGCAAGCCGGCTTTTGATTCTCAGATCCGGGGCTTTCATCTACCTCCCACCAAACTGGCTTCCCTCAAGTTTGAGAAGGCTGTCTACAGAGTGCAGCTTAGCGAGTTCTCCCCTCCTGGCAGCCGGGTGGTGGTGGTGAAAGTCACCCCAGCCTTCCCCGAGCTGCGCTATGTTCTAAAGCCCTCCTCAGAGAGTGCGGGCTTTAAGCTGAATGTGCACACGGGGCTAGTCACCACCACTAAGTTCCTGGACTTCCGAGCCGGAGCCCACTACCAGCTCCACATCAGAACCTCACTGGGCCTGGCCTCCACCATGGTGCTCGTTGACGTAGTGGACTGTAACAACCATGCCCCCATCTTCAGCAAGTCTTCCTACGATGCCACCTTTGACGAGAACCTCCCTCCAGGCACTAGTGTTTTGACTGTGACTGCCACTGACCAGGATCATGGGGAGAACGGGCAAGTCACCTATTCCATTGTTGGTGCCCAAACCGTGCCCTTTTCTATTGACCCTTACCTGGGGGTCATCTCCACCTCTAAACCCATGGACTATGAGCTCATGAAAAGAATTTATACCTTCCAGGTGTGGGCATCAGACTGGGGGTCCCCATTTCGCCGGGTGAAGGAAGTGTCCGTTTCTCTCAGGCTCAAGAACTTAAATGACAACCAGCCCATGTTTGAGGAAGTCAACTGCACTGGGTCTATCCCCGAAGACTCGCCAGCGGGGAAATCTGTGATGACCGTGTCAGCCATAGACGTGGATGAGCTTCAGAATCTGAAATATGAGATCGTGTCTGGCAATGAGCTCGGATATTTTGATATCAACCATTTCTCCGGCGAGGTATCCCTCAACCGGGCTTTTCTGAATCATACTGCCGGCCAACCTACCAGGTACTCTCTGAAAATTACAGCTTCCGATGGGAAATACTATGCCTTGCCCACCACTTTAAATGTTACTGTGGTGAAGGCCCCTGGCCTGGAGGTCCCTGTGACATGTGATAAAACAGGAGTCTTGACAGAGTTTACAAAGGCCGTCCTTCTTCACTCGCTTGGGCTTCAGAGCCAGGAGTCTGGTGCTGAGGAATTCACGTTCTTAAGCACGTACCAGATCAATCATCACACCCCGCAGTTTGAGGACCACTTCCCCCAGTCCATCGACATCCTCGAACGTGTTCCTGTGAACACCCCCCTGGCCCGCCTGGCAGCCACTGACCCCGATGCTGGCTTCAATGGCAAACTGGTCTACGTGGTGGCAGACGGCAATGAAGGTGGTTGCTTTGACATTGAGCTAGAGACAGGGTTGCTCAGTGTGGCCGCCCCCTTGGACTACGAAGCCACTAGTTTCTACATCCTCAATGTAACCGTGTATGACCTAGGCACGCCCCAGAAGTCTTCCTGGAAGCTGCTGACAGTGACTGTGATCGACTGCAATGACAATGCACCCAGATTTCCTGCTGGTGGGTACCAGGTAACCATCTCGGAGGACACAGATGTGGGGAGCACAATTGCCACGCTGAAAGCAAAAGATGCAGACTCAGAGGACAACGGGCGGGTCCGCTACACCCTGCTCAGTCCCACGGAGAAGTTCTCCCTCCACCCGCTCACCGGGGAACTGGTCGTCATAGGGCCCTTAGACCGGGAATCGGAACCTCAGTACATACTCAAAGTGGAGGCCAGGGACCAGCCTAGGAAGGACCGACAGCTCTTCTCGGTCACGGACCTGATAGTCACCTTGGAAGATGTCAATGACAACTCTCCCCAGTGCTTCACAGAACTGAGCAGGCTCAAGGTCCCAGAGGACCTGCCGCCAGGGACTATGCTGACATTTCTAGATGCCTCTGATCCTGACCTGGGCCCTGCAGGCGACGTGCACTACATCCTGCTGGATGACTCCCAGGGCACTTTCGGGGTGAACCTCAACACTGGAGCGCTCACTCTGGAGAAGGAGCTGGACTTCGAGAGGCAGTCTGGGTACAATCTGAGCCTGTGGGTCAGTGATAGCGGGGAGCCCCTGACCCGCAGGACGCTCTGCCACGTGGAGGTGATAGTCCTGGATGTGAATGAGAATCTTCACCCTCCCCGGTTCACCTCCTTTGTGCACCAAGGCCAGGTGCAAGAGAACAGCCCATCAGGAACCCCGGTCATGGTGGTGGCTGCTCATGACGAGGACGGTGGCTTGGACGGGGAGCTCCAGTACTTCTTGCGGGCTGGCACTAGCCTTTCAGCCTTCAGCATCAACCAAGACACAGGTACTGGAAGTTGGGGAGGATGAACGCGCCAGGCCCGAGGCAGGAGAGCCCAAGGGAAATCAAGGGCTGCCCTGAGAGAAATCAGGCTGCAGGCCGTGGAGGAAATAATGAAGGGGGATTCTCCTTCCTGTAGGTTCCCTGGGTGGCACAAGGGTTTGTGCTTGACTACTAACTGAAAGGGTGGGGGTTTGAATGAACACACGAGCTTTGGTTGCATTGTGGTTATGTGTTGGGCTGCTAACCAGAGGGTCAGCAGTTCGAAACCACCAGCTGCTTTGAGGGATAAAGACAAGGCTGTCTATTCCCATCCAGAGTCACAGTCTCAGAAACCCATGAGGCAGTTCGGCCCTGTCCTCCTGGAGGGCTGCTGTGTGTTGGAATTGACTCAATGGCGGCCATGCGTTTGTCTAGTGGCCCTGCAGAAAAAAGGCCTGGTGATGGCCTTCCATAACGATCACAGTCAAGCAAACTCCAAGGAGCTCAGTTTTACTCTGTAACCCCCAGGGCTGACTCCATGACAATGGGTTTGTTTTTAATTTGCAATTTGTATTCACTGGGTAAATACAGTCAACCCGAAAGCCAAACCCACTGCCATCAAATTAATTCCGACTCATGGCAACCCTATGCAGGGTTTCTAAGGTTATACATCTGTAGGGGAGCAGACAGCTTCATCGTTCTCCCCTGGAGCACTCGATGGGTTTGAACTGCCGGCCTTGTAGTTAGGAGCCCAAGGCATCACCAAGGCTCCTTTAATGGACTACAGTGTGAGAGAAGGGCAACTTTATCTGCACTAGGAAATATAAAATCCATCTGACTCTTTATTGTGATGTTTGCTTCATTGTGGTGGGCCAGGATATCTCCGTGTGCCTGTCTATACATGCACACACATACATTATATACATGTACACATTAGACATAGCAATACACACATATAACATGTTATATATATAGTCTTCTTATAAAAGTAATACATGCCAACTGTCAATTTTTCCTTATAATTAAAAAGGATTGTCTCTTGGCTCCATCTCCTCAGATAGAATCCTTATTCACAATTGGGTACATAATCTATTATTTAGTCTTTCTGTATTTTATATGTTAGCATTGTTTATTTTGTTATAAGGGCACAGCAGTCACCAATTCTGAACCTTTTTTTTTTCAAATAATGATACATCTCACTGCCATTGAGTCAATGCAGACTTATAGCAGCCCCCGTGGGTTTCCGATAGGGGAGTAGGAAGCCCGTCTTTCTCCGTCACAGCTGCTGGTGGTTTCTAACTGCTGACCATGCAGATTGCGGCCCAACGCTTAACCACTACACCACCAGGGCTCCTCATTAATGATAATGGGGGCAGGGTATAAATCTTTTTTACTCTTTTAAATTAGTTTGACATTATTTTGTTTTATAGCTATGACCACTTTGTTCATATAATTTTATTCATATGCATAAGTACCTAGAGAAAATTTCTTAAAAAGGAAGTTGCAGGGACAAAGAGTAATGCAATGCTCACGTGAATGGATAGCTCCAAATTGCTCTCCAAAAATATGGCACCCAGTTCTTTCTTCTTGATAACGTCAGAGAAAACTCCGTGCAAGTCAGCAAACATGGACTGAGTGCCTGCTACTTGTGATGCCCTGAGACAGGCACTTGGAAGAGAGCTAAGGAGCACGAAGAGGAAAGGCCAGTGTCGCGTAGTGGGAAGGGCATTCCACTGAGAGCCTTGTGGGGGGAGGGCGTTCTGGTCTCCATTTCCCACTTACTTGCTCTATGGTCTTAGTCACATCGAGCTCCTTTTCTGGGTCTCAGTTGCCAGCTGTCGAGGGAGTAAAGCAGCTTCCGCGGAGACATGCTGTGTCTATGAGCACACGGGCCCTGCCCTCCCCACAGGCCCTGCCAGTTGAATGTGACTCAGGAGCGCGAGCTCAAGGTGCAAGCGTTTGATGCTCGCCGTTGAGCCCTGGGCTCTGGAACAGCTCTGGCCCACAGTGACCAAGGTCCTGAGCACAGTTGTGATGTGAGTGAACTGGAGATGATGGAGATAATGTACTCATCAGAATCTGAGGACGGAAGCTTGAAGGAAGCAGCTGTAAGGCAGCTGCGAGGCAACCCTGGAGTGCTGGAAACGGTTTGGATTTGAGCCCATCCAAAGGCACATCCGCAGAGAAGACTCAGGACCTACATCTGAGAAATCAGCTGTTGACCTTCCTGCGGCGCACGGCTCTCAGCCCTGACACAAGGGAGTCCCCGAGGCACAAGCAACAAGACAGGTTGACTAGTAAGAACATCTCACTCTGTGGCTATTGTGAGTTGTCAAGAATTGGTCCCCAATCCCATGGACCCCATACACAACAGAGCTAAGTGATAACCAAGTGATCCTCGGGACCGCACCGTCCTCAAGGCCGGTTGCTGATTGGACCATTGTGATCCGTTGGATTTCCATCGGCTGATTTCTAACTGCCAGGCTTTTCCTTCTGGTTCATCTTCGTCTAGAACTCACTGCCAGTGAGGCAATTCTGACACAAAGCAATCCTGTGAGACACAGCAGACTTGTCCCTGTGGGTTTCCAAGACTCTGACTCTTGACGGTGGTAGAAAGCCTTGTCTTTCTCCTGAAGAGTGGCTGCTGGTTTCCAACTGCTGACCTTATGGTTAGCAGCCCAGCATGTGACCACTACCTCAACCTGCTTGTTGTCATAGCAACCCCTCTTGACAGAGTGTGACACAAACCAGTGATACCTGGGTTGGGGGAGTCAGGAGAAAGTAGGTCAAGTACCACAGCCTGACCTTGCACTACGCACTAAGCTGTGTGCTATGTTCTGTAAGTGGTGTCTTGTTGGAACCACACAACACCCTGAAAGGCATCACCTCGTTTACAAAAGGAAGCCATCCTCTCAGGGGTAGGTGTCATGCACCTGATGTCCCAGAGCCAAGAAGTGGCCGAGCCAGGGTTAAAATCCTGGTCTATCTGCCTCTAGAGGCAGTGCTCTCTCTTCAATACATCAAATGCCATTCTAGGGTGAAATAAAAGTCAACTCAAGAAGGGGCTTCCTTCAGTTTCCCTCTCTGTCAAACAGGGAGAGGGACGCTACCCAGATGGAGTCATGCACGGCACTAGTTAACAGTGTGGGCTTCAGTGACTTCGGGTTAAATAAACGTGGGAATCCTACATATGCCCGTTTTAGCAGAGACAGGCTCTGAGAGCTTCTACCAGAAGGGGATTATCCAAAGTTCCTCTTTGTTGAACTCAGCACCTCCCACACTGTATGGTCAACAGCCTCTCTCCATTGGCTTCCTTTCAAAAAAAAATAAAGAAAAAGAATACTAATTAGTACACTCAGAGGTGGGGGGTGGGAGGTGTTGGGTAAGGTGATTTCTAAAGTCACTCTGAGTTTTTAAAAAGCCACTAACATAAATTGCATTTGGTGATTCCTTTTCTCTAGGAGCGATTCAGACACTGACTCCCCTGGACCGAGAATTTGCATCTTACTACTGGCTGACCGTGCTGGCAGTGGACAGGGGTTCTGTGCCCCTCTCTTCTATCACTGAAGTCTACATCGAGGTTACGGATGTCAATGACAACCCTCCGCAGATGTCTGGACCTGTGTTCTACCCCTCGGTCCAGGAGGACGCGCCCTTGAACACCTCAGTGCTCCAGCTGAATGCCTGGGACCCAGACTCCAGTTCGGACGGGAAGCTGATCTTCAACATCACCAGTGGGAACCCCATGGGGTTCTTTGTTATCCATCCTCTCACAGGTAAGGACCCTGGAAAGCTTGGTGATGAGAAGCTGTGCAACCAGACCCCAAACCACACTCACTGCCATTGAGTTGACGCCCACCCATGGCGACTTTATAGGACAGGGTAGAACTGCCCCTGTGAGTTTCCGAGACTCTTAACGCTTTACAGAAGAAAGTCTTGTCTTTCTTCTGGGGAGCAGCTGGTGATTTCAAACTGGGGATCTTGTGGTTAACAGCCCAATGCGTAATCACTTCTCCACCAGGCTCTCTACAACAGTGGTTCTCAAAGTGAGGTCCCAGATCAGCATCGCCTAAGGATCTGCTAGAAATCCATCTGCCTGGTCTCACCCTAGACCCACTGGATCAGAACTCTGAGAATAAGCCCCTGACAACTTGGCTTTAACAAGCCCTTCAGGCAATTCTGGTGTGTGCTCCCATTTGAGCACCACAGTCTGCAAAATCCATCTTCACAGAAAATGAAGAAAAAACAATTCCATTTTTCTTGGGGCCCTGAGACCCACACTGCCTACTGGGACTACTTGAGACCCCTGCAGTGCACCCACCTAGACACGTATTCCCTACACCCCCACTGAGCCCCAAACCACAGGTAGAATCTCTTACCCCTAGTCCCAGGTGAATTCCATGCCTGACCCTGAGAGGTGACAATCAGAAAACCCACTGAAGTCAAATCGAGGGCAGTGGTAGAATTCTCACCACCTTCTGTGTAGGAGACCGGGGTTCAGTGGCCAAGCAGTGTCCCTCATACATAGCTACCACCCATCTGTCAGGGGAAGCTTGTGTGGCACTGAGCAGGTCTCAGGGGAGCTTCCAGACTGAGACGGACTAGGAGGTGAGGCCTAACAAACTACTTCTGAGGATCAGCCAGGGAAAGCCCTCTGGGTTACACCAATTCAGACCTGGACTTGCCACGAAATCTATTGGCAGCTAGCAACAACAACAAGCCAAGCAACTACCTCCTTGACATTTGTCCTTGAGCACAAATGGTCTGGGGCCAGGATGGCAAATGAATGGGAGGAGTCCAGTGGTCACAGCTAGCAGTAGTCAGCCAGATGCAGCCTGCTGAGGAGTTTTGTTGGCCTTAGACAATCTCTGAACAATTTTATTTTTCCCCAATTCATTGGCAACACTTAAAAAATTAGGAAATTTTACAGACACACAATTCCAGATCGCTGCTTGCTCCTAGAGCACTGGAAGATCTGACGGCACTGACTCCATATTCCCACGCTGACAGCCGCTCCTGACATAGGTCAGGCACGTGCCCTCTAACCGCATGGGCCCCACTGTGCCCGATTGTGGCACTCCTTATTGGCGCTACCTGCCTGGCTCCTGCTGCCTTGGAGTCTGAGAGGCAGTGTCAGGGCTGACTACTTCTCAGGGCCCATGCCTGCCTCCTGCAGGATGAACAGCAACCTTATTGTAGAGAGGCTGACCTTCTCCCCTCTGAACCCGACCCTCTACGCCTCAGGTCCACAAGAGCACCCTTGTCTCTGAAGGACAGAACTCTGGTGTGATTGGAGGAAGGAGAGAGGTGGGCTGCAAGCAGGGAATGCCCCAACCTCAAGACAACAGGAAATCAGGAGCAGCTGGGAGCCCGAGAGTTTGGGGGCAGACGCTAGTGGATGGTACAGCAGGTACTGATCCATTTGTTGGGAATTGTTCCTATTGATCTTGGACCTCAGGGTAGGGATCAGTCCTCCTCTAAGGAGGATGCCTTTCCCTGGAGTCTGGGGAACAGCTCAAAGCTGGTTTTTCCCAAGCTGCCCTTTCCCTCCCTTTTCAATGCAGGGAAGAAAGCCCTTGCCTGAGGCTTGAGTTTCTCAACTTTATCCAGAGCCTTGCTCTGTTTATTGTCAACAGTTCCCTGACACCAGGGCTGGCAACGGGCCCTATAGGGCAGAGACGTCCCCGGTCTTTCTGAATCTGCAGAGCAGAAAACTTTTAAACACTGTAAAGTAAAACATGTTCTTTTTCAACCTTTAAAAATAAAGCAAGGGAACAACAAGTGATCCAAATCGGTGGTGAGGAGGGTGTAGGAGGCCTGGTAGGACATGATCAAGGGTATAATGTAACCAAGAGGAATTACTGGAACCCAAATGAAGACTGAGCATGATAATGGGACAAGAGGAAAGTCAAGGGAAATAGAGGAAAGAACTAGGAGGCAAAGGGTTTATAGAGGTCTAAATAAAGACATGTACATATGTAAATATATGTATATATGAGGATGGGGAAATAGATCTATGTGCATATATTTATAGGTTTAGTATTAAGGTAGCAGATGGACATTGGGCCTCCACTCAAGTACTCCCTCAATGCAAGAATACTTTGTTCTATTAAACTGGCATTCTGTGATGCTCACCTTCCTGACACAATCACTAAAGACAAAACAGGTGAATAAGCAAATGTGGTGAAGAAAGCTGATGGTGCCCAGCTATCAAAAGATATAGCATCTGGGGTCTTAAAGGCTTAAAGGTAAACAAGCGGCCATCTAGCTCAGAAGCAACAAAGCCTTCATGGAAGAAGCACACCAGCCTGTGCAATCATGAAGTGTTGAAGAGATCAGGTATCAGGCATCATGAGAACAAAAATTCATATCATTGTGAATGGGGAGGGGAGAGCGGAGTGGAGACCCAAAGCCCATTTGTAGACCACTGGGCATCCCCTTACAGAAGGGTCTTGGGGAGGAGATGAGCCAGTCAGGGTGCGATGTAGCAACAATGAAACATACAACTTTCCTCTAGTTCCTAAATGCTTCCTCCCCCCACCCCACTATTATGATCCGAATTCTACCTTACAAATCCAACTAGACCAGAGGATGTACACTGGTACAGATAGGAACTGGAAACACAGGGAATCCAGGGTGGATGATCCCTTCAGGACTAGTGGTGAGAGTGGCGATACAGGGAGTATAGAGGGAGAGTGGGTTGGAAAGGGGGAACCAATTACAAGGATCTACATGTGACCTCCTCCCTGGAGGACGGACAACAGAAAAGTGGGTGAAGGGAGACGTCGGACAGTGCAAGTTATGACAAAATAATAATTTATAAATTATCAAGGGTTCATGAGGGAGGAGGGAGCAGGGAGGGAGGGAAAAAATGAGGAGCTGATGTCAGGAGCTTAAGTGGAGAGGAAATGTTTCCAGAATGATGAGGGCAATGAATGTACAAATGTGCTTTACACAATTGATGTATGTATGGATTGTGATAAGAGTTGTATGAGCCCCTAATAAAATGATTTTTTTTTAAAGCATTAAATCAACTCTGAAAAGAAAATGAGTAAAAAGCACAGGCCCTCTTTTTCAGCATCACCATCAGATGGTCCCACACCCCACTTGGACACCTGGGGTGATTTCCTTGTGGCCTCAAGATAAAGCCAGGTCCTTCCAGCTCTCCCAAACTTGGACTTCACTTGGACCTGGCCAACCTCGCTGGCCTCAGCTTGCTCCTCTCAGCTGCTACTCTCTTGGTGCAGCCATGGGACCTTCCTGAGTCCACGCTCCCTCCTGGTACAGGACCTTTGCACGTGCTACTCCTGTCTCCCCGGACTCTCTTTGCATCACCTTTTCCCTAGTTCACCCTTCATCTTTTAGATCTTGGTTCCCGCTGTTCTTTCCTTAAAGATGTTTTTCCTGAGCTCATAACACCTACTAGGATAGTATGACTATTTGTGTGGTCATTCCATTTATTATCCCAAAGATTAGTTCCTAAGAAAAACAGACCTTGACTTTTTGGTTCAGTTTAGTGCACTTTAGTTTTGCTCACCATAATAGCCCCAGTGCCTGGCATACACTAGGAGCGCCATTGGGAATAGTTAAATAAGTCAGTGACTCTCTACTAGCAGCCATAATTTTTGTTAAGTCCAAGTCCTTCATTTACTCAGAAAGCACTTAGAAGACCTTAGTGAGGTTTCAAAACTGTGTGTGACACAGAAGTGTGCAGGTAACTAACACATGGTCTCAGGCCTCGAGGCATTGCAGCCATCAGAGCATGGGGAGCTGGGGAGAAATAACCGTGGAGCCAGGGCACGGAGCATGCCTCCTCCAAAGCCAGACCTGCCAGTGTGAGTGTCGAGGAAGAGGGGAGGGAGGAAGCTGCTCAGGCGGTGGCTCTGCTTCAGCCACATGGACCAGAGGGTGGCTGTGCTGAGCTGGAGGTGGGAGACGGAGGCAGGTGGTAGATGGGGAGAGCATGGCCCAAGCCTTGGCTGGGAGGGAAGATGAACCAGAGCTTGTTGGGTGGGTGAGTTTCCCAAATGCACACCCTGGTTTCACCACTTGTGAACCGTGAGGTCTTGGGAAAGCTGCCGAACTTTTCCTATGTACTTTCTTTTCCTCCAAACTAGCAAGATGGATATCATAATCTCCTATGGGTGGTGGTGGGGAATAGTAAGTGACTTCCTATGGAGACACTGTAATTTAGGAGAACGCCTGGCACATGAGTGGTCGGTAAGCGTTGGCTCATGATGTTACGGCAGGAGAGAAGGGGAAAATAGCGCAGGAAGGCTACTTGAGCAGGATCGTGACTGGTGGATACAGTTGAAAGAAACCAGCAGGGAG